AGACGTCTTTAGTTTTCCATGAGAATAAGATGAAGAAAGCACATCTTTTCCTAATCTTGCTTGCCTAGATTTTTTAAATGTACAGTCAAGCTGGCTCCTCACATAGATGTTTGAATTTTGCCACTCTTACTTATGCTAAGTGGTTCCACTAAACTTGGCAACAGATCTCCTACAATAAGGTCCACAAGCCAGGAGTCTGACAAGATCTCTACTTTCAAGAGTCAGACTTTAAAATAGCAAAGCCATAGTAACTTAAAATATTCAAAATATACACCACCAAGGAGGACAACAAGACATGAGAGATGACAGTCTACACAAGGCATAGATGTTTCCACATATTCTCTAACCACAGAGAGGATCAGAAACTATATTACAAATTAAAGCAGATTCTATGATAAAAATGCCCTCCAGAAAAGGCATCTATCATCCCTTAACCAAAAAAAAAAAAGTGATGTATTATCCATAAAATCCTCCACAATGACCAATCTATCATTTCAGTGAGCCAAATCCTGAAGACACAGTTTGAATCTTAACAAGGTAACAGCAAAATCCACTCCCATGTAAGAATAAGGGACATATTCAATTCCTATTACATCTGGCTTCATTAGAGCTTATTCTGCTTTTAATCTGCTTTAATAAAGTCCTTACGTTTGAGTAAAGATCTTAGGCTTTAACATGCTCATACAGAAATGTATATTGCATGCAAATGACATGGCAAAGGCAACACCACTACATCAGACCTCACACTTGCTATGAATTACTTATGTCCTCCATTCATGAAGTCCTCCATCATTCTTTTCCAAAGCATCTGTTATGCAGGATCTGTACATACTGGCTCTTTACAAGAGACAACATCAAGATGAATAAACTTCCACCTCACATTCCCTAGGCTCTGTACAGCTGTTGCTTATGCCAAGACATTGCACCCTCTCCCTTAATTTCGACCAGCTATTTAGATTCTCATATATATCAAAAAACTTTAGCAAAAAAAAAAAAATCCATATATAAAAAATGCAATGTAAATTGTAATACTTTGTTACAAACTTTTAAAAAAGTCTTATCACCCATTTGCAGGTACAAGCACGTCATTATGCTTATTGAGGATTGCCAGGGGTCATAAGTAACAAGCATTCCATATAATTCATATAACTACCAAGGAATTTCTCCCAGCCTACTATCGTTGAATTTTGCCAACTTGTACATATATAAATCAACAGGCACTGTGGCTTAAAGTGGACACACTATCTTTGACACAAGCAACCATTTGAGAGCTATAGCAAAACTATTAAAAAAAAGTACTTGTTTGACACGTCTTGCACTGTTCATTTTCCTCAGTGTTTTTTTGGAGCTGTTTCTTAGGTTATGGTTTCACTTCTAGTTCATTAAGTCCTCAAACTTGATTTAGTTACAGGCCCTGTATCCAAAAATATACTATGTAAGATGAAAGTATCATCAAGGGAAAACTTTCATCCAGAAAGCATAAATGCAGAAATACACATATTCTCAATTTTTTATGAATGGCAATCAACACCAATGAAGACTTGCTAACAAAGTTTTTTGCACACCATAACTTGATCTTTTCCCCATTTTCTTCAAGTATTTACTACTTCGTGTCTCACTGAATAACAACTTTCTCATGCTGTGAATCCTTTTCTGCAAAGAAAAGCACAAAAATACAGCTGAACAGTATTTTATAACATTAATGACCTCAACCTCCCCGCCCCAGGTAATGTCCAGTTCAAGTTTGCTCAGGGATTACCCTTTACTCCTCCAAGGTTGCAGATTTACAAAGCAAAGAGATACTTGAGAAGCCCCAGCACTATTTGCCTACCAAGCATTAGCTCTTCTGAAATCAACAGTCATGGAAAATAAATCCCAGCCCATACTTGGGAAAAGCTGTGCAAAGTTGCAATTTTCTGTATGAAAAAAAACAACCAACAAGCTGCAAGTGCTGCACTCTGCTAACAAGTCCCAGGTGAGAAGCAGGAGGATACCCCGAGTGATGGGTGGCTCCTGGAAATGGTCCTTGCCATGGAACCTGTCACTGAGGTCCTGCCAGCCACCAGAGGAACTGCACAGAAATTATCACCTTGTATTGTGGGGACTGTTTCCTTTGCTCAGGGTATCCTAGAGAAGGACTTCACAAAAAAAAAAAAAAAATCTTCAAAAAATATGGATCTTTGGTATGGACTGCTTTATGAAAACAGAACAAAATCAAAAAGAACTGTGAGCCATGCCATGAACTCTACTCTACAGTTTGCATTTTTTAAATTCCTCACAATGGATCTGGAATAAATCAGCAATGGGTCAAACCAGTTCAGAAAGTGTTTGAATAACTGCCCATGGAGTGCCCAGAGGTTCCCCATCAGCTGAGTATTTTGACTGCTGCTGTTCAATTGCCATTTGAGAAAGCAGGACTGCTGGGAAAGACAGCACAATGTAAGACAACACAGGGTAAACCAACACTGGCTACAAAAGCACACAGTGTACCATATTCACACTGCTCAGCCCAGGTCTCTCAGACGTTCCCAAAAGCAGCTTCACATCAATGCCCCTCCGAGCCAGCAGCGCTCAACGCAGCCAAAGGTAAGAGGCTTTCAACAAATCAGGAGAGCCCGAAATATCTCATTTTATCTCTATAATAGAAACAGTAATTGACAAATCATTATTTTACATTTATAAAATACATGATGAGGAACATACCACATGCATTCTAGACTTTCTGTCTGCACTGGAAATCAACTGGGAAATTAGGAGGTATGGCGTAGAAACATCACTACGAATATACTGTATTACTGCTTTTGCAGCTGCAGTCCCAGAATTTGTTTCACAATAATTCAGTTACCCATGTTTAAATAACCAGCCAGCAGAAGAAAGGCTGATATATTTCATATGCATTCTCTTTGAGCACGGGGGCCTTCACGTCTGGGCGAAAAATGTCAGGCTCATATGACACCACCAGAGTCAGGAGAGATGCCTAACCATAACTAAAAGCAGAATTTGGCCAACACAATTGGAAAATACCAGCAGTGTATATACAAATGCACACATGCAATCTCATAGAAGAGCAGAGTTTGAGGCAGATTGGATTTTTTAATCGCACCTTTTAAAAAAACAAAATTTAACGTACAAACCCCTCACTGCACTCCTATGTGGATCCTTTATCCCACTGCAACATAAACAGACATATCAGAGGTTGGAGCAGGGAATAAAGATATTTTTTCTTTTTTTTTTTTTTTTTCCATTGAGGATTTTAAACAGTTTGAAAAGGAAAAGAACAGATCTGGCCTGCCTCCCAAACTGACTTCAATAATAGATAAACAATTTTAAGACTACCCAGTCAGCAAGTACATACATAAGCTATACATGAATATACTTATTTTTAAAAGAGCTGCATTTTTTCCCTTTTGTTTTCAGTTTCCTCTACCATACAGTCCAGAAGCAAAAACTAGTAGTCTTTCCTGATTCACCAAAACCACACTTTGACAATGAATACCCTAATGGTTTAGATATTATTCCTCACAACTTCTTCTCCAAAGCAAAGCAGTCTGTCAGCTTCAGTACCAATTCCTACAAGTGTTGTGCCATCTTTGTAAGACCATTCTATCAAACACATCCTTCAGAAAGGAAGGATTATAGCTTGCATCCTGAATGCAGTGCCTGATTTGAAGATGCCATTCACTTCCTTCAGTCTCTTCCCTATCCCTGGTGCACTTGCCAGTAACACCCGCGGGGGGCTTCAATATTTTGCAAAACTAGAGTGAATCTCAGCATTGGCAAAGCCATAACCAAACACACAGATTTGAAGGTATTACTAAAAAACCAAGATTCTGAAACAGCAGTTTTCACAAAATTAAACAGATAAACTTTGGTGCAAATTAAAAACAACCCTCTTGTATCTGAGCCCATAATGACTATTTTGAATACAGATTATTTACTGCTGCCAATAAAGAAGTTTTTTGGTAACTTTTGTGTTATTGGGAAGAGCTTGAATACAATCCAGTCCAAAAAAAATGCTGACTTTCCTAAATAGGGGCTGTGTTTTTGCAATAAAGAATACTGGTCAATATACAAGTGAAGGAAAACTGAACCAGATGTCAGTAATAGGACCACAGAACGTTGCATTTGCCCAGAATCGCTATTTTAAACACACGATGTTGGTCTACTGGTTTGCGGGATAATACATTCTTGGCAGCCAGAAGGAGTTTCGATATGTTAGAAGGTTATCCTTGAGCAAAAAAAAAAAAAAGAAAAGCAGGAGAGAGGTAAAGAAAGGCCACTAATTCATCAAGTTACCCATAGCAGAAAAAAAATCATGACTAAAGAAATCAGTTCAAAGACAAGCCATTCTCAAACCAGAAAGCTTTGGTTTTGCATTCATTTTTGTTTTCTGCTTTACCTCCTTCATGTGAATACTTCATTGACACTTCATTGTACTTTGCCTTGGCATTTTTTTAGGATTCTTCCGTCCATACACGCTCCATTTCACCTTGCAGCTCAGTTGAGTCAGACTGATGCGGGGGAAACCACCCCACACACAAACCAGACCTCACGAAACCCAGTCCTGGAAACTTTTCCTGTTGGAAACCTTTGCTCACATGAGGATCTTGCTGCCATCACTGGGACTGCTGGAGGAAGCTGTTCACAGGACCAGGTCCCACTGTCCCAGAATCACTGCAGGCAGTCGTGGAACCACGCACACAAGTACCATTACCCAGGTCTCTATCCACAGCTAATTTAGTACTTACCCATCTCTAAAATGCTTTCTAGTTCAGAGTCACAGGCATTTGTGATTTGTTTTTTGGTGTGTTGGGTTTTTTTCCTCTTAAGTAGTAGTTAGATTTGCAAGTCTTCTTAATACAGAAATAAAACTTCAAGATGTACTTTGTATGTTTGGCGAACAAACACTTTCCTGTTTTACCATGTAGTAAATTTAAAAATCAACTCTCTTCATTGTTTTAACAAACCCTCCTCTGAAAGATAATTAAAACCACTTCCCGATATACAACCAAAGTTTTATTTTTATAGTCTATCTTCAATTATGGCATAATCCTTTTTTTTTGTTTTAAACCAGTGAAATATACAAATCACACGAGACAGAAATATGTACATTAAATGTACAGAACAGAGGAAAGGACATAGAAGATTTACATATCTGAATGACAAGTAAAATATTTTACATTAAATAGTGTTTTAATAGCTAGGATCATGAGATTCAGTTTTGCTCAGACAAAAGTCACTAGAAAGGAACATGAGGTGATTCAGCAAATGAAAAACAAGATCATGATTTTTGTACAATAAAAACCAAAGTGACATATTCAATGAATTAGTGCTTTATTTATTTCTCTTACTTTAAAGATACTCTTTGCAAACATCTGAAGATGAGGGGTAAATATGTCCTTGTACAATAAATTAAGAGCAATAAAGCGCCATTAAGAAGCTGATAAATGATCAAGATGAATTTAATGATACAGCTTAAAGGCTTGTGAAAAGGCAAGGCTTTAGTACAACTAGGCTAAAGTGAAAGATTTTCCTCACTTGGTATCTGAAAAACTATTTTCTTTAACTTGTTGAATGGGACTGAGTTGAAAAGAGGCATCTGAACCAAAGATGAACCCCTGTGTAACTACACAGAATAGGGGGGAACGCATATTGTTTGACAAATAACAATTTTTCAGTTCAAAACCTGAAAAGCAAGGGCTAAATGCAGCACATTTTGGAGTTGGAAGGTGTCTCCTTTCACCAATAATCAATAATGCCCTTAACATGAGAGTGGAATAGAAGCGATCTCCAGACCAGTATTGACTCAAGTGCAGGGTGCTGCCTCTGCCAACCACCCAGGAAAGTCCTAAAGTTGGGAAGAGGCTGACTTCTTTGCGATTCTCCTTAGAACTTTTGAATGATAAAAGCTTAAAAAAAACCCAACAAAACAAAGCCAAACACAAAACAACAACAACAAAAACAAACAAAACCAAACCAAACAAACAAACAAAAAACCATCCCAAAATAACAAAAACAAAACCACCGAAAGAAAGCTTGGAATCAATCTAAAAACCTGGAGAGATCTGAAAATGAGGGATGAACTGCCCCTGTAATTTTAGATGTTTTATTATTTTCTAAATCATTAAAATATATATGTACAAAAAGCTTTGAAGTATCAGACACCAGCAGACCACAGTTCTCCCATATATATGTAACTGCTCAAGTATAGTCTGAGCAGTTGTAGTGTATATCTGCAATATATTATCTAAAGCATGTGTATTAAAGACATAGGATGATAAATTTGGTATTGCTGCAATGTTTCATTGAACTATAATAGTCAGTTAATGTTATTAAAATATGAAACTATTGAATCCTTGAGTGAAAGCGTTCCCAAAATCTGCGAAAAAAATAAAAATCAATCATTCCAAGAGCGGATATCTAAAGATTTATTTTCTCACATAAAATTAGAGGAGTTATTTGTCAAGCTGTGTTTTGAAAGACAGCCAGCTATTACACCATTTTAAGGCATTTTCAAATTTGGGGAACTCTACTTTCCATGGGCTTTCCAGGCTGGGAAACCAAAGCTGTTTGTAAGCAGTGCAGCTCCCCTTGCCCAGCTACAGTGCTCCACACAGCCTGCCCCGGGCTGCTCCACACTCGGCAGTAGGGAAGTGCTGCTCTGTCAGAGGAGACACTCCAACGTCACAATCACCTAACGAGGCCAAACTCTGCCTTGAAGAATATCTTCGTTATTCACCAAGGCAGATTTTTTCTTTTTTTTTCTTTTTTTTCCCAGTCTTGGTAGGTTTTGGAACCAGCCCCTGTGACTCAGGGATAGCGCAGTTAAAGCCTTTCTGATTCTTTGCTCTTTGCCCTCCGGTGACACTGCAGGAACAGTCAGACATGCAACCAACACAGCACTTCATGCTGGATATACCCCTTATTTACAGAGCCCTACATGCACTGAACAGCTTTATATACCCTATTCTAGCCACTTCTAGTGTCTGAAACTAAAAGTCACGGACAGGTCTGTGTGTTCCTCACATCCATAAGGATTGTTCTAGCATCCCAAGCACATTACATGGTTGCTCTGCCTAGTGCACATGTATTACGTTCCATGGGACTAAATTAGGATATGTCGGATTTTCCCCTCAAACTACTCTATTGTTTGTAAGAAAAGTCAATTTTTTAACTTTGTAAAATAAATATTCTCAGATTCTTGCCCATTATTGCCAAAAATATAAGCCTAACACAGTTCTGGGATGGACACAGAGAGGGTTTCCAGGCACTTCTCTTTGCAACCTTTATATTTTTCTTTTTTCTTTTTTTTTTTTTTCCCTTCCCCTGCCCTTTTTTTTTTTCCTTTTTTTTTTATTTTTCTTAAAAGAAGACAACAACTTGTTGGACTCTATAAATAAAAAGTGGAGATAGTCCTGTGGAAAGGGAGAGGGGCCTGCACCCCTCGCTGGCAGGCGGCTGCAGTTCCTCCCACCTCGTCCTGTCCCCCTATTTGCACACAAACTGGTCCACGATCTCTGTGCACAACTTGCATTTCACGTAGCAGCACCAGTGGAACTTGCAGTGGCAGCGCTCTCTCTGCACCGTCTTGAACTGGTCGTACCCCCGGCCGCAGCACATGAGTTCGCAGCCGTCCATGCCCTCCGAGGTCTTATTGCACAGGCGGCCCTGGGTGCCCAGGGAGCCGGTGCTCTCGTTGCGCACGCAGTAGTCGGGGCTGGGGTCGATGTACACCAGGTCATGGATGGTGGGGGCGTTGAAGCGGCTGTTCACCTGTACCAGCTTGCCCCGGCTGTTGAGTTTCATGGCGGCGGCGCTGTCGTATTTCTCCTTCAGGGCATCGCCTACCTTGCGGAAATCGGCGAGCTGCAGCCAACAGGTCTTCAGGCTACAGGAACCGGAGACGCCGTGGCACTTGCAGGCCACGTCAGCCAGGTTGTACACCGTCTGGAGGAGTCAGGGAGAGAAGCAAAAATGATGATAAAAGACTAGCGTGGCTGTGAAAGCATTTATTCCCCTCATTTCCTGCCCTGTGTTGTATTCCCACTGGCCCTTCTGTTGTATTCACCTTAACATTCTCTCCCCCTCCTCCAATACACTGGGAAGGAAGAGCAAGTGAGCTGATACACGTGCACCTCCACCACCCAAAACAGCCGGGAGAAGGAGGGGAGCACTCTCATCAGTCTCTCCCCACCACTGAGACAGCCACAACTGCACATACACAGCCCAGACAGCAGCATCAGTCAGGCTGTGCTCAAATTTTAGGAATTTGCTCTCACGCCAGCAAAGGATTTTGCTGTTTCATTGAGAAATGTAAAACATCCCTTTATTTTCTATCTGAGTTACTCTCCCCATTGATCTCTGCTTGAGGCTGCAATTAGGGAAAGAGTTAAGATTCCTCTTGCTCCTGGCTCAACTGCAGCTGATTGTCTACTCTTGGCTCGGCATCCTCCTCCTATCCCAAATACTGCTCTGGAAGAAAGACTTCATCCAAGAAGAAACCCCCAAACACCTATGGGTGGAAGACAGAGCTACATAGCAATATCCTCTTTACAAAGCTTTGGCAGCGAAATCTTAGTCATTTGCCCTGTACAAATAGAAATAAGAGTCAGTGTTGACACTGCCCCAAAAATCCTGGGGTCTGACACATTAGATGATACTGTAGACAACTTCCACCCAGCAGTTACAGAGAGTTTTAGCGCTGCCAAATGGCACTGCAAAGATGAGGCTGAGGAAGGAAAAAACTGCTCGAGTCTCCGTAAGCAACTGTGAAAGTGTAATTTTTCTTCTTGCTAATAGTAATTGGCCTGTCCATTGCTTCCAGACACCTTCCTCTTACATTTAAATACTATTAATTTTCAATTATCTTTCATCCTCCTTCACCTTAGAACACAAGTGTAAAGTCTCCAGCCGACTATTGCTGGCACTTCAAGCTCTAGGAAAATAATGATTTTGGCTCTTCACATTGAGAGTATTAAAAAAAAGAAAAGTTTACACCCATTCATTTAAGGCATTTTTGAGATTAAAGAAACCATAAAGACATGTTCAACCACAGAAGACCATGTTTCCTAATAGCATGGAGAAGCTCTTTTACATCCTCTTAAAGCAGGGAAAGAAAAAAAGTCAGAACAATCCCGTGGCATGATTCCAGCCTGGGAAGCCCAGCACATCCCTCCTCCCTCCAACACACACTGTCCTGGTTGGAAATACCAACTAATTAAATTCTGTTCTACAGAGAATCCACAGTGAGCAGGGTACTTTTCATGAAACAATACAGAGGGAAACACGACAAGCTTTGGTTCCGGCCTCCCCCATGAGGAAGGCAATAGGACTGTCAGACAACCAGAAGCAACACAAATTCCTGTATTCCCCACCCACCCACTCCCTGTATTTGCCGTCTTCTTGTTCCGTGCATCAAAACAAAGACAAGCCATGGTGGTCGGTCTGTGCCTCACTGAGGCACATCTTTCCCAAAAAGGAGGGACACGGAGGAGAGCGGAGGGAGACTCTGTTCTGCAGTCACTTACCCTTCTCCCGGCCTCGTTGTTGTGCAGGTTCATCATGATCCGGGCGCTCTCGTAGGAGCCTCGCTGGTAAACTCTCTCACGCTCCCGGGCATCCACGAACTCCTTGGCAAAGCGGTATCCGTACTCGATGTTATCCCCGCAGCCACCCCAAAGCCAGTCCCGGGGCAAGTCCTTGGGCCGTGCAGCTCGGCTGCAGCCACAGGAGGAGAGCTCTCCCTCCCGGCAGGCGCGGCTCATGGCATTGACCACGCCGGCCGCGCTCACCGCGTAGGTGAATGCCGTCTCCCGGCTGCCTGCGCAGAAAGACAAGTGGTGTTAGGGGACAGCCCACGCACACCACTCCCTGCCCACTGAGGAGCTGGGAGGACAAAGGCTCTCCAGGAGCCACCAAAAACTAATATGCCTACTAAAAGGTAGAGTAACCCTGAACTAAGCCTCCCAAAATGTCTCCACTCTGAAAGAACCAAGCAAAACCAACCCATTAGAGCACACACAGCGTTTGTGAAGAGTAGAATTTGCTTGTTATTCATGTTGGTGAAAGCCTGGATGAGAGGGCAGAAAGGAGGTGGGTCAGGGCTGGAGCACAATGCCAGCAGGGCCAAAGCGGCCATGCCTGCACGTGAGGGGCGGGAAGGGAAACAAGCTTCCTGTCTTTCAGAAGAAAGAGATGTTAAATACAACTTTTAAAAGTCTGGTTCTTAAATTACTACTTCTCAAACATGATTGATGCACTTCACCCACTTGTTCCAATTTATTTAAAGTTCAAGCGTTTTATAAAGCCTCCTGGTATCAAAAGAAACGTGCAGCAGAGCAACACACAAATTTCCACCCTACACATTAGCCAGACACTTTTGTAGGAGACTATTTAAAACTAACAACAACCTGTGCTGTTTAGTATCCACCACTTGAGCTCAAGCGAATATGGCAAGTGAGTCCACGGACAATCATCTTTACAAATTACAGGGAAGCAAAAGCCTTTGGCACAAGGCAGCCTTGAAGGTTTTCTCCTGCATCTGGTGCCCTTAAATGGAAATGGAAAACCTCAAGTTTCAAACTTTCGGAAGAAAAAGTTACAATACCCACAACGTAAGACATGGCCACGTACCATCCTACTGACAGTATCTAGTCCCATCTTATTTAAAGTCTGACTTTCCCAATCACTTTTCCAAGGCTGCCACAAGTTACTACAACTAGCAAAGCTTTCAGACAAACAAACACAGAACTTGCACCAAAGAGCACACTTGAGGTTTACTTTTCTTCTTAAGAGAAAGCATCCCAATGGGTCTTTTCAAGAAAGATTCCCAGAATGACTGAGAATAGACTAAATATTTTTTTTTCTGTTTATAAGTTAAGTTTTATTCCTAATGTTTTGTCCAATCAATGAATCAAGCTAGCTTTAATTTTGATTTTACATGATTTTTCTCAAGAAACAGCACTGGCCTTCCTAAAATTAGGGCTTTAAGAGCCTATGTTTTGTGCAAGTCATGTATATTCAGCCAGCAACATTTTGAGGCAAAAACTCTTTGTACAAGATGTACCATGACAGGTCAAATCTAGTAGAAGCTTTCAAGCACTTATGAAACATAAATAATTTGCAGTTTGGTCCATATTTATTATCAAGATGACACCATGTTCAGAGCCCCTTTGTTAATATAACAGCTGTCATCCATTGGATTATTTTAGTAATAGATGCTGGTTTTAAATGGGAAAAATCAGAAATCTTATGTTGGGAAAGATGAGATTTAAGGAAGATGAGAAGCACTTTTCTACTTTACTTACAATGATCTATTCTCACAGCCACCTGTTCATGGAAGTATTTACATGAATTATGGGTATAAAGGGTTACAGCAGTAGCCTTTTCAGTTAAAAATAATTGGCTTTATGCAGTGACTTAGCCCTTGCATTTACTGCAAACTATAGCAGCGGGAACCTCATACAGATTTTAATGTTCCCCTTTGCTCTGTAACACATATTTTTGGATTAATTCCTCAAGCAAAATTTCCACTAGATTCAGAGGAAAGAAACGTGGTCTGCTTTGGACCACAGGACTTGCCTCTTCCGTTCCATTTTTGTTCTTTTTCATGTTTCATCAGCTCATGCTTTCACATGGTTAACTATGTCACCTATTGTAGGATTTAAACTCATAAACCTGACTATTTTTGACTAATTTTCAAATCTTGAAGAACTTACTCTCAGTGGGAAGGAGAAAGAAAGGCTGGGGAACAGAAAGGAGAGTTGCCCCCAGTTTCCCTCCTTGAACATTAAGGCAAATTATAAAATAGCATCAGCTGCTAAAGTAGATTTCAAGCCAACGCTGCCTCAAGTCATCGACCCAGGAACACACTAAGAGTGATGGTTTCACATGGATGAGTTACTCTGACTTTTCTTTTTTTTTTTTGGTCTTCAGGCACAACTGTGCTTTCCTTCACTGTCAAACATATCTGTCTTTTCCCACAGTCCAGGATTTCTCTCTATTGTAGCCATGGCAAGGAAACACACATTCCAAACACATTCAAGTCCCCTCTCTCCCATATATATAAAACATAGAAATGGAACTGTTCAATATACACACACTGTAGGAAGCCACCCACAGAGCAAGGAGCTGAGCTTTACCCTTGATCTGAATAAGTCTGCAAGAACAGAACAACTTTTTTTTTATATACCTGAACAGAAGATACAAAACATTCTTTGTCTTGCACTTTAAAAGCATTCAACATCAGGCTAAAGGCAGAACAAACTGGACCCCAAGTACACGGAGCTGCTGGGGGAGGACTCAGTTATTTTATTTTCTGTGTGCAAAGCCCAGGTACAGCCTGCCCAGGGCTGATGGGCACGGGATGGGGCAAGGTGGGGAAGGCAGGGAGGACCACGGCCTGACCTGGGAACCAGCAGCCAAGGACAGCAGTGCAGAACACAAGCCCTAAAATTTTACAGTTCAATAAGCCACAGAGCAAGTTTCCAAACCCAATGCTAGGTTTATTTGTACAGCTTTAGCTAACTGCACATGGTAAATCCTGGAAGAAAGACTGTCCATTGACACATGGGGCCATGGCTGTGCTGTGGGGCAGTGCTGTGCCCGGGCGCTCTCTGGGGCACTGCCAACAGCAGATGGCAAAGCCCTCCCAAACAATGTGCATTCAGACCCTGACTGTCACCTTGCACACTAGTGAGAGTAAGGAGTGTCTGACAGTCCCTGACATGCCAGGGTATGGCAGGCTGAAATAAATTGAATCAGGCTCTGAAAGTGCCCACTCTTCCTTCCCCTTAGAGGAACACCAACTGGTCATTACTGGGGGTCAGCGTGAAATAATATAAATGTCACCCACACCACCTTCCTTGCTCTCAGTGAACACACTCTTTACACTCTAATTCTTGAATATGGCTATTAACCTTGCTTCCATCTGCAATTAGAATAAGTGGCTTAATTACATGATGAATTGCTGTGTAGACATCAGCTAATACAGTCATATTCATCAGAAGGGTGCGGCAAAGTTATTTAACTTGAAAGAAACTACCTTTAAATAGACCTGTCATACTTGGGGCAGGCAGAAACAACTATTCCAGAGACAGACACCACAAATCATGAGCCCAATCATGAGCCCAATCCTGTATACTTCTTCACTCCAATAGTCCCCCTGAGCTAATTTTCACTTGCTTGGATAATAAATAAGAGCTGAAGGATGAAGGCCTAAATTTTAAATGGATTATTTTTCTGACATTTGTTAGATTACTAGAACAGAGAGGTGTACTGAAAAAGCTTTCTTTCATGTTACATGTGTTTTTAGACTTCTGCTTGGGTAAGGTAAAAAAACAAACTCTATGGGGGGTTAATACTGTGCTTGCAAAAAGCCTAGGGAAGGTTGTTTATCTAAAATCAGCTGTTCCAATTCGATACTTCCATGCAATAGATTTTTTTCTATTTGTCTGACAATCTCCAAATAAAAACTTCTTTTAACAAAAATTGAGACCAAATGTGAATTGATATATTCCTTCAACTTTAACTGGAGTCAGCCCATTTACAGATAAAACGTAGACCGAAACCCATTTTAAAACTTTTTTGTTTAAAGCAGCACAGAAAAACACTGACATAAAAGCTTCACTTCACAGCTTCAACTAAAAAGCACTGCTGAGTTTGTCAGTGTACTGATCACTACTTAAAAGATCACAGGTATCACCCAGAAAATAGGTGTTTTTCAGTTGATTGCAATCTGACTTGAGAAAGTCAGAGGGAAGTTTCACCATGGACCCAACTCAACAGCACTGGTTAAAATTTTGCCAAGGCCTTTAAAATACGATGAGGTCCTTAAATGCCAGAAAAGGCAGCACGTGAGCACTGGAGAAGCCCTTTTCAAAGAGGAGCTGATAGGGAAAGAGTTGGGTGTCCACCTAATTGTGATAAGATGTTAAACAGGAATCTGTCTCTCTTTCCAGCAGTGTGATTACGTTAAAGGTGAGTTATAAAGACAACCACATATTTTGCCCTGACAGAACTGCTTTCATAAAAATTACCCTGCTACAGAACCTTAAAAATAAATCTGTTTTCTTTAAAAAGAGAAAAAAAAAACCATATCTGGAAATAAGCAAGGAGGAATTGCCTATAAACACTAATCGACAGAGCAGCAATTTTCAGTTAACCTCTGGACCAAGAGCGATTTATTACGCAGCCGCTAACTTTGGAACTAGACATGGACATCTTTAATTTTACAAGACGCTGCTGGTTTTAATTCTCTTAGGTTGCCTTCGTTTTGTCTCAGGTTCAGTAAAAGAGAGATTTCAGGGCCTCATTCTCCTTTCTCCTCTATTCCCATATGCAAATATATATTCCTACTTTGTTTTCCAAGACACATGGCTGGACAGTGGTGGGAAATCACCTCCAGCTAAAAATAATCCAACTCCTTTGCCAACTTTTAAAAACACTTGATTGTATACAGTACTCAGTAAGAACCTGGCAAGAGCTTCAAGTGCAGAACAGTGTGTGCCATACATATCCTTAGACAAGAGTTTAATCATAAAGATCTTGCTTCCTACCTATCTGCATGACTCTGCCAAAAACAGAGTTGTTGTCCACAGTGCTGCAATTCCATCTTCTGTGTCTGAACTGGTACTGGCACTCCTTAATGCCCGTCTTTGCACCCTCTCCAATGAACTGCATATGGTCCTGATACAATTGGCAGAGTTTCTTCTGTCCTTGGGAAAGCCCTGCTAGCTGGCTACACAGTGGCTGGGCTCCTATTATATACACCTCTGACATCTGAACAGGGTTCATGGGGTTCATGGGATTCATCCCTAAAGACCTGCATAAAGAAAGATTTGCATTAATAAACAGAAGACTCTAAAATCAAATAAAATAATTTTTTTTTTAAATCTATAAATCCCAAACAGAACTGTATCTTATACATGAGTATACAACTCCTGGTTTTGCTAATAAGTGAGAAAAAAAACCTAAACAAACACTTAAATATGAAACTTTTGTTTTAAGGACAGGACATAAGTTATTAGTTCCCATCCATGTGGTTATCACCATATATTAAAGACTGAAGTAAGATACAGACTTGGAAGACTTGCATCTAGGCAGCCTTTTACCAGCTTAAATTGGCACAGTAAAAATAACAGAAGCTCCAAACAATTGCAAGGCCAGGAAAATAAATAAAGCAAAAATGAAAAAAGTCCCCCAAACCCCAATTTGTTTTAACACATATTTTACATTTAAATCTGGAATTTTCAATCTCTTCTACTCTAAAAAATAGGGAAACTTTAAGCCAGTCAGGAGTTAGAAACTTGCTACAGACCACTTCTAGCTTCTTCCGAATGACAACACAACAATACAGGCAAGTACATTCACTGTAAACAAAATCAACTTTGTTTTCTTAATTCTGAAAGTGCTCTTCACATGATACATTTCAATTAAAAAGTGGCCATTAATCCACAAAGGATCACTTGAAACAGCAGAGAAACACCTATTTCAAGAACTCTTAACATTAAACACTATACAATTTGCCAAAGCAGAAATTTAAGTGTACTTCTTTGTAACAATATATATTTGTAAACATTTGAGTAACAGAAAACTTCAAGCCAAAACTTTAATAAAAGTTTTTACTTGTAAATCAGCATTCTCTCTTATACATGCAAAATTTCTAAGAGACTTAAAATGGCTCTTTTTTTTAAAAGAGACGCAACTCTAGTAATTTAAAGATGATAAAATCCACAGAGAATCTACCATTCAGCATTCTCAAAACTGTATTGTACAAGACGAGATGGTGCACATTTACCCTTATTCGACAGACCCGTTCATTTTACTACACAACGTACTACACCGAGCACACCACTCCCCAGCTGCCTCGCTCCAGCGGTACTCCCTCAGAAACAAAGTACATAAGAAGCACATAGACATTTAAGCAAGCAAACCTTGACACCCCCTTTTAAAATCAAGTCGATACGAGATGCTTACCACCAAGAGCTGGCTTCTATTACAACCTGGGTAAAAGAAGAGAAAACGGCCAGAGCCACTACGAGGTACTGAGAAGCCATTGTACTGCCAACTGTCCCCACTGCACCTCCGTGGATTAATACTGCACTGGATTTCTAGAGGAGGGAGAAAAAGGATCAGATTGTTTATTGCTCCTCAGACCATTTTCGAACATTCAAGTTTAAACAACGGAAGTCTCCGGGCCCCTTTTAACTTGACTCTGCCTCGCCGGCCCTTCTCCCCGCCGAGGCTCTGGTGCCAGACTCAGGCACGTCGCGGCTCCCGCTCCACCGGGCAAAACCCACCCCCGCACCCCCACCCCGCCCGCGGACACCGCCTTCCCGGGGCGTCCGCCCGTCCCTCTGCCCCGGCCCCGCCGCTCCGGCACCCCGCCCGCGGCGGGACGGCACCGGACGGGACGGAACAGCGGCCCCGGACACGGGGGACCCCAACCCCGCTGCCCCGGGGCCACAGGCGACGCGCGGGGCCCCGGCCGGGCATTACCCCATCGCTCCCCGCGCCGAGGCCAGCTCACGGCTGGCTAAAGGCGGTTCAGGTTTGCAAAGCGAGCGCAAGAGGGAGGGGAGAGGCCGGTGCCTCGAGGGGTCAGTTCCGCGGGGGTCCCGACGGCTCCCACCCGGGGACGATGCGGCTGGTCCTCGCCCTTCCCCGCCGGCCGTGGAGGAAGCTCCCCGCCGTCCCCTAAACCATCTCGCCGCAGCCTCCGGGCTCCCGCTCTCCGCGATCGCCGAGGCAGCCCCGAGCTCCGCGCTGGCGCCGCGGTGACTGCCCCGACGGCAGCCCCGGGGCCCCGCCGGGGCAGGTACCGGCCCGGGGAGGAACCAGGAGCGACAAGGAGAGGCTCCGCGTCCCGACCCGGCCCCCGCAACAACCGGGCTGCCGTCTTGGAAGTCAAACGCTTCCCCCGACAGGTCCCGCGATCACCGTCTGGTCCTCACACGGGACTCTCACTCGCTACCCACAGCCATTCCCGGGGTTTATTTCCCCTCCCCTCGGAAGGAGGGGGGGGAAGGAAAAAGAAAAAAAAAAAGGACATTTCGACACTTGGGGGCTCCCTATTCCCTATTCATTCTCCAAAGGTCCTTAACGCTGAATTGAAGGTGCTCTTAATTCTAATTTATTTCTGTTTGCGAAGGGCCGGGAGGAGCGCAGCGCTGGCGGCGGGGCCGGACACGGAACCTGCCCGAGAACACGCGGGGAAGCTGCCACAGCGTGGGGACCCACATGCGCCGGGGCTGCAGCCCGGGGGCGAAGCCTCCCCGCGCCGTGCGGGTTAAACATCTTCTGCACGGGGGAGTTGAGCCCCCCACCTCAACTTGGGGTGGGTAAATGGGGGGGCGTAAATGGGGGCCGGTCTCCCGCAGCAGAAAGAGCCCGCCCGCCTCAGAGGGGCTCAATCCCGGGAAAGGTGCGAAAGCCGAGGGCGTATTGAGCGAGGAACGAGGTGTGCGCGGGGCAAGCAGTGACATCCAACAGCCCACAACGTCTTGGGCTTTTTCACATCTTTTAGTTCTTAGAATAATGACAGTAACAAAGAAACGCCATGGAACTGCCCGAGCCCCGAGGAGGTTGGAGACGCCGGTGCCCATGCGGGACCCCAAGAGCTGTGCAGCTGCCCGGCCCGGACGCGCCGAGCTGCCTCGGCGGGGCGGGCGGCCGCGGAGGGAGCTGGTGACCGGGACAGCGTCGGGAGCTGCAACACCCTGACGGCGGGGCCAAAGGGCACTGCCCCCTTCAAAGGGCCCGGGTGCTCCCCTGGGCTTGGCCGTCGCTGCGCCGGAGCCCCCGAGCCCCGTCGCGGCGGCCCCGGGGAGCTGTGGCGTCCCACTCCCAACAGGGGGCGGCCGCGCTCGCCGCAGCCCCGGGAGGCGACGGGGCCGGGCGACTTCTGCCCTTCCGACGGCACCTCCCGCGCCTCATCATCGCCGCAATCGCCCTCCTCGTCCTCTAGCCGCGGCGCTGAGTAGCCAAGCGGAGGAGGCACCTGCGCCTGGGGCCGCGGGCGGGGACCGGGCCCCTCCAGCCCGGCCCTTCTGCACCGAGCGGCTGACAAGCTGCCACCAGAAACAACACACACAGAAAAGCCAACAGTTAAAAAAAAAAAAAAAAAAAAGGCAGACTGCCCAGCAGCACGGAGCGCTGGAGATCGGGAGTGTGAGGCACCGTGTTCAACTTTGTAGGGCCGCGGAGATTGGGTTTTGGTATTTAACGCACCCCATGCGGAGCCCGCGCTCCTTGCCGAGATGAAAAGAGAGGCTTTTACAGATCCTGCACCGCGGGATCGCCTCTGATCCTGTTTTACACGGGGTGTCTGGAAAGCCTGCGAAGGCATCTGGTTTTCTAGGAGCACTACCAGCGGGCAGGCGGCATCCAGAGCCCGGCTCCGGGGGGCTGTAAACCGCGGGAGGCGCAGCGGCTCCGCGGGGACCCCCCCGGCCGCCCCCTGCTCCCCGCTGCGGCTTCACAGCCATTTGGAGGGGCGAGACCAGGTCTCACGTTTGCAGGGAAAGGCACTGGTCGGATCCCGGCCCAGCTCTCCCCACCGGAGGCGCAGAGGGGGTGTTCTCCCGGGGGTGAAGGCACACTGTGTCCTTCCCTCGGCGCCCGGGGATAGCCTCGCTCCTCGGCTCCGCTGAACTCCCCATGACCCTCCGAGCGCAGCCCATTTACCATACAATTGACAATTAAAAACAAACAAACAACAAAAAGCCAACAGCCTTTCCAACATGGAGTCCTCGCAGCGCCAAGGGGACCCTGAGGAGTCGCGCTCCTCCGCGCTGACCCAGGCGGGACCCGCTGCAGATGCAGAGTGATAATCTCCAGAAACTGAGAATAAAATTAAAGGGGGGGGGGGGCTGACTCCAGGTCCTCCGCTGGCCCCCCGCCAGCTCTCCTTAAAGGTACAGACCACCATTAGCGCCGATGTTGGGTTCCTCCATAGCGATCCTCCTCGCAAAAGTTTGGGAAGTTTGGAAAGATGTCTTTAAACTCGCGTTAGGAGCCGCTGCCAGAAAGATGCGCCGGGACGCGGCGGGCAGAGCGAGCCTCGCAAGTGTCCCTGCGGCGGGCAGCCTCTCTTCGGGGGGAAATTTAAAAGGAGAAGGAAAAAGCAGAAAATACGGGAGCTTTTCCCAAGTGGGGAGCAGCGCTCTCCGCGGTGGGTGAGAGCGGAGAGGTGGGAGCGCCCGGCGGTAGCCGGGGAGGGGAGGAGAGGCCGGCCCGCGCCGGGGCCCCGCGCCCCGCCGAGGCGCAGCCCACCCTGCGCGCCCGCGGGCCCCGAGGCGCGGAGCCCCCGCGCCCCGCGCGGACTCACCTCCATCGCGCGGGATCAGCGAGCGGGAGCAGCCAAGTAATCCAAGCGGAGCAGCAGAAACGGCGAGGCGAAAGTAAAATCCTGGCTCGCAGGAGCCGGGCGGTATCGTCCCGAGCCGCGGCCGGGGGAGCGCGGGGGCCCGCGGAGCTGGCGGGGGGCGGCGGGCGAGCGGCCGCCCTGTCCGGCGCAAGCTGAGCGTGTCCGACTGCGGAGCGGGGCACCAGTGCAGCCTTCTTTCCAAGGTCCATCAGCAATCGCAGTAATTAGGGCTTTCCACCAGCAGAAGAAGAAGGAGGTAAAAAAAAAAAATCCAAAAAAAAAAGCCAAGAAAAAAAAAAAAGCCAACCCAACACACACGCACACAGCGCCCGTGGGCGTGATTGTGCGGAAGCAAATAAAAATCTTCACAAGCGGCAGCGAAAGCGCCGCGGGCGACGATCCGTCCCACCAGCCCAGGTGGTGCCGCCGCGGGGCTCCCCGCGCTCCCACCCGGCTCCGCCGGCGCTCGGGCCGCCGACCGCCCCCTCCGCAGCTCGGACCGGCCCGGGCGAGGGGGACGAGTGGAGCTGAGCGGGTGCAGGGCTCCCCCTGCCCGCCCCCCTTCACTTGCTTAAAGGCTGGGCGGTGCGGAGCCGGGGGTCCGCGGCTGCAGAACCATCCCGGGGCCGGCTCCCTCCATTTTACACTGAGAAGAAAAAGCCCAACAGAAAAAGAAGTTTCTGCACAAGCGAGAAGGGGGAGGGGGGCTGTGCACGCGTGTGTCTGTCTTACGGGGCGACTGATCCTGCAAGGCGAGCAGGGGCAGGGGGAGGGGAGCAGTCCGGGCTTCAGGAGCTGCGGCTCCCCCAATCCATCGGTGCCAGAGGCGCCCAGCGCCGAGGAGCGGGATACGCGGGAGAAGAGCTGGGAGAACAAGCCGGGAGAGCGAGCCGGGGCAGGCGGCGTCGCGGCAGCCGACCCTTCCTCCACGGGGCTCTGCCCCCGCCCGCTACAGCAGCCGGCCCCGCTCCCCCCCGCGTCTCTCCCCGCTCCTCTTCACCCCGCTGCTTAAAACTGCGAAAGAAAAAAAAAAAAAAAAAAAAAGAGGAAAAGAAGAAAAAAAAAGTTAGAGAGCCAACGGCAGCTGGAAAACTTTCTGGGCAGCGCATGCGCCCGAGCCCGGCCTATTGCAGTCGGGGCTGGATTTTAAAGCTGTACGGCAGCGAGCGGGACCCCGCGCAGCCCCGCGGCGAGCGCCCGTGGTGCGCGCCCCCGTCCCATCCCGTCCGCGGGGCTGAGCCATTCTCGTTGGTCAAGCTCGGTGTGACACCCCGCGAACGCAGAGTTCGTGCAAAGCGGTGCCCCCTGTGCCCACCCCACCGGGGGGATGCGTGCGGGGGTGTACGGCCCCCACCAGCACCGCCGGCTGATTATCCTGGGATTTGGGGGGGGGGGGCGCATAGGCACACGCGAGGATCTGCCGGGAGAGCCCCGCGGGGCTCCCCCCGCACACATGTGCGTGCAATGTGCGGCGCACATGGCCGCGCCGAGGGGCTGCCCCGGCATTCCTGCCGGGCGGCTCTTTGACAAGTCCTGTTTATCGCATGCTCCGAGCCGCGTGTGCCGCCTGCCAAACGCGGGGGGACGGAGCGAGCTCGACGGCTCGCGTTCCTCTTTCTGCAGCGGCTTTTCTGCCGCTGTAAATTTAGCAAGTTGTTGACAAAACTGTTTGAGTTCAATCAAGTAAGGCCCAATGAGAGCTACAGGCGAGGGAGGCTTCGCGGACCCTTTGTACCTCCTCGCTCTTTTCTCGCTCTGCAGTCCTCAGCCAAAGGGGTTTTATTGCACCTCTCCCGTCTCGTGTGCACCCAAGCACAGGAAATGGGAGCCTTCCCCCAGCCATGCCGTAACTCCGCAGTGTTTCCCCTGTATCCGCCTGCAACTGAGGGTCCACGGGGGGATTCGGGGGAGGGGGCACATTATCAAAGCAGCCCTGGGAAATCCAACCAAGCCGCGAGAGCAGCCCCGCTATCAATAAAAGCATTCACTCCTTCAAAACCATTCCAGTGCAAATAAAATCCCTTCAGGAGCCCGATGGGGCACATCCCGGCCGGCACGAGCCCCTGCCCACCTGCTCCCGGGCCAAGAGCTCGTCCGCCCCGACAGGGCGCTGCCCGCCAGGTAAGCGTAGCCTCCGCCGAACGGGCCAGCTGCCCCACCAGGCTCCCACGCTCCCCCCTCTGCCCAGGGCCCCCCGGGCCGCCCCCTCCGTTGCTCTGCCCGGGGCGCCGCTCCCCGCCGAGCCCGGCGGCGCCCGTCGCCTCCCCGGGAGGGAGCAGCGCTGGAGGGGCCGCCGAGAGGGGCCCCGGCGCTGGGAGCCGAGCAGAGGCAGCTCGGGGCGCAGGCAGGGAGCGGGAGGAGGCGGCGGGGGCGTCAAGGCAGCGCAGAGCCCCCCTCGCCCCACAGTGGGCAGGAGATCAGCCCGGGACACTGCGGCTCCCGCGGGCACCTGACCGCCCCGACGGCCGCAGCATCGCTCCCGGCAGGTTTCTTTACTCCCTAATATCCCAAAGAACCCTTCCATTAGGCATCCTCGCTGCCCGGGCTGCTGTTCATTCCTCGGGACGCCTGGTGAGGAATTTATAAATTAGGTGTAGCACCAGGTCCGAGGAGGGGGGAGGAATAAGGGGGCTGTTCGTTCCTTTAAGAAGACCAACCTTAGTTTTATGCCTAGTAAATAATATTTTATTGCCTTTGGTTTACTGTGGCATTTCAATTATCCCCTTTAGGAGTCTGCAAACTGCGTAGGTTAAAGGTCATTTCTCAAATCACTAGAATTAGTAAAGAATAGCAGAAAACTGTAAAAAGGGGAGGAGCTGCGCAGTAAAACAAGAAAGATCGCCTGGAATAAACTAATAAAGAGCCCCGAGCTGTTTACCTCTCGCATTTGTATTCCTGAATGATGTTTATCATCGTGTAATTGCATAATGTCATCGGGCACAGGAAAACACCAAGCCCAGGACGATCCATACGGGCAGGGCTGTGAGCGGTAGCTTGGCAATGGGTGAAGCCAACACCAGATAATTTTCCTTCCCGGGATTCCTAGTCGTTGCTTTTAAAAAGAAAATTGAACAGGGAATTTTTAAATCGGGCAAATTTTCAAGCTATGGCGCATGGAAGTGGAAATAAAGGGCAGAAATCCAAACATCCCGCAAGGCTTTAAGAATTTTAATTTCTCTTTACTATTTAAAACAGCTGGGTGAATCTAGAGGAGGCAGGAGGGAGAAGTATTGACAGTATTAGAGGCATTCGTGCTGCCTAAGCTTTTGTTTTCCAGGTTTGTTAGCGACGGAGCTCTTAAGGTAACCAGACAGTTGATCTGCCAACATCAAAGTGTTTTCTGGAGAAAAATATAAATGCTCAGAGTAATGTCATGGGACGTGTAACAACATCATTGAATGCCCAAACAGCAGAACCCCGAAAAGCAGCACTGCATGGTTTTAGAGATTTAGGTCAGGTCTCTTATAGTTCTGCAATTCTCTGGAGGACAGAAATAAATTATTTCTGGTCGTTTTAACATCTTTCTGCCATTTTTCTGCAGAGTAATGCATTTTAACAAAGGAGTGGTCACATCAAACCCTTGCTCACCTGTGTTCACTGTAACGTGTGGTGCTGTGTGATTTATATCTTTCCACCTTGGCCAATGGCAGCCGTGCAGTCAGGGGCCAACAGGCATGGGGTTTTGTCATGAGGAACCTGTTTGGGAAGCAGAACTTTCAAGGAAAGAAGGTATGTCTTTTTAGTTTATTATGAAATTCAAATATATAACGTAGGAATTATGACAGGTATCACACTGAGCCATTGTGAAGGCACAGCCCATCTGCAGCTGTTTTGGTATTAGTGCCCATAGTGTATCTGCATATAGGCTTTTTCAGATGAGGGTCATACCACAATGAACAGACAGAGCAAATATGTTGTGTCACTTTGGACATGTCACCTGCACTCTGCCCACCAGCTCATCTACTCCAGGGATGACCTTTAAAGCTCCAAGGGACTTAGGTGTAACTGCTTTGAAATCATATATGGACTTTCCTAGGGCCTTTTTTTTCCTAAAGCATGCTGTAGCTGTTTTTCTGCAGACCACTCTGAAATCCAAAAGATGGCTAAACTACAAAAGAAATGTCAAAGATGATGATTTAATGCCAAATCCTGCAATAATTGTTATTTTCCTACTCCCTAGCCACTAGAAGCAAGAAATAGCAAGGGAAACTCTCTTTTTAAATAATAATTTTATATTTCTAGCTTGCCTGAACTCTGCTGAAGAGATTTTGACAAGTTAAGAGACTAGAAAACAAAGAAAAGAGTATGGATGTCTGTCCATGGATGGATGTACCCCCACCCCGTTCCCTTCCATCTCTCAGATCCCAAATTCATGATGTTGAAAGAAACCAGGATATTTGGAAGCAGCAGTAAACCACTAGAGAGGAAGAAATGGAGTCTAGATTAGCATTCATGTCTACCAGATGAAGACATATTTTAGATGCAGTGAGATGCAAATAAGAGGCAGCAGGCGAGAGAGGAAAGTTTACAGGGTAATGAAGTGTTACAAATTCTGGTGAATACACCAATCTACAAACCTGCAAAGCCTGTAGAAAAAAATATACTACTTTATATTTAAATTGATGATAACTATACCAATTTGTTGTTACTAGTAATGAACTGCATAGCAAATAGCCCCCATTTGTCTGCATTATCAGCTGGAGAAAGACAGCTGTGGACTCATTTCTCGTCTTTCATGTGCAAAACATAGGTGGGTTCTTTTCATTCCCTTCTGCTGAGGTCTAACAAACCTCACTGCCACGGCAGAAACTACAGCCCAGGTACAACATGCATGTGTGCTGGGTCATGAAGGAAAACAGAGAGATGAGAAAATCCTTTCCAGAAAAGAGAAGTAACTCTAAAAGCTATTCAGTCAGGATGCCAACTAAGTGCACATCTGTTGGAGCATGGGGCTTGTCTGTTGTGAGCTCACCAGGTGCAACATTGTCAAAAAATGCCCTCTCACAAGAGCAGGGGAGGCTGAGTTTTTGTGCCCCACAGCAATGATTATTTTACTGTTCTGGGAGACTGGTGCCATGGGCAGCAGCTTGTGCCCAGCCCCGGCTCTGGCACACTGAGCTCAGTGAGCTGAGGTTCAGGTACTGATGCCAGTGCAGGTGTCTGAAGGAGGTGTTCAAGGAGGACAGAACCTGTGAAAGCTGCCTAGACCTCTGCAGTTATAGAGACCATGAAAGGGCTCTGACGTTTTTTAGTTTTTGCCTCTGGAATAGTAAGGTTGTTGAAGGTAATTATTGAAGGGATAAATTTATGCCCCCACAAGTGTTGGCTGTTTTCTCCTCTGTCCTGCCTGTGTCTGGGGCACATGTCCCTCTCCTCACACCTTGTACCTTTGCCTGTGTGTGGGGGTCTTTAT